AGAGAGACAGAGACAGAGAGACAGAGACAGAGACTGACGGACACAGAGAAAGAGGCAGAGACAGAGAGAGACAGAGAGAGATAGAGAGACAGAAACAGAGACTGACGGACAGAGAGAAAGAGGCAGAGAAAGGCTGCGAAGCGCTGCCCGCTTCCTTAAGGCAGAAAGGCTCGGATTCGGACCCACGGGCTAGCTGTGTGACTGACCAGGAGCAGGTCACCCTCTCTGAGCCCAGGGCACGGCGCGATCTGTGCCCACAAGGTCACTCCTTGCGAAGGCATCAAGCCCGACAGAAATGGCCCAGATGAAAAATAAGAGGCTACGGGGAATTAGCTGCCCCCCCTCCCCGCAGCGCCCACGGTCCTTCGTGCTAATCTCTGTGTGAGCGTGTCGAGTGTTTCTGGGGGGGGGGGTGCACACGTGCATTGGTGAGCCCGCGCGCATTCGTGGGTCCGCGCGGTTCGTGTGTCCGCAGAGGGGTCCGCGCGTGTCTGCGGCCTGCCCCGCCGCAGGTCGGGGAAGCCCCCTCGCGCGGCCCGGAGGCGGGGCGGGGCGGGGCGGTGGGAGCCGCAGCAGGCGCCGCAGCCCCAGCAGCCCCGGCCGCGCCTGCAGCCCCGCGCTGGCAAGTCCCGACTTGCCTGGGCGCAGACGGCCGCAGGAGGGCGGGAGCTGGGGGGCGGGGCGGGGCGGGGCGGCCGGTGACGTCACGCGGGAGCCGGGGCGCGCGGCTGCAGCGCGAGGCGGCGGCGGCGGCCGCGGCAGAACCAGCCTGGGAGCCGGCGGCGCAAGACACATGCGTGCGGCCCGCGGGAGCCACAGCAGGAGCGGGAGCGGCAGCAGCAGCGAGCGGCGGCGGCGGCGGCGGCGGCGGCGGCGGCAGCGGCGGCAGCAGCAGCAGAGGCGGCGGCCGAGAGCAGGCAGCGCGGAGCCAGGCGCCCCTGGCCCGGCCCGGCCCCCGTCTGACAGCCCCGCCAGCCCTCCCCCGCCCCCGACGGCGCGTTCATGCCCCCGGGGTGAGTGAAGGAGTGTGCGATGTTTGGGGAGGGGGGTCCCTGGAGGGAGGGGAGGCACGGGGCGGCGGGGGGCGCTCCCTGGAGGAGGAGGCGGCAGGAGAGTGGGGCCGCCCCCCACCCCACCCCCACCCCGGGGGCGCGGGCTGCCGCAGGTGCTGCCGCTGCTGCTGCTGCTGCCGTTGCTGCCGCTGCCGCTACTGCTGCTGCTGCGGCCGCGCGGGTTGCGGGTTTGTTTACAAACAATGGGTGTGCGGCCCCGCGGCGCCCCCTGGCGGCCAGAGCGGGCCTGCCCCTCCCCCCGCCCCCCTTCCCGAGGGGTGCGGGGGGGTTGCGGGGGCCGGTCCTGGCCGCGGTCTGTGCAGGGGGCATGCATGCGCTCGGGTCCGGAGTGAGCTCTGGCTCCCTTGGAGCCGGGGCCGGGGGGAGGGGGGGCCCGCCTCTGTCCCGCAGCTGCTGCCGCGGTCCGTGCCCTTAGTGTCCGCGGCAGTTGTTGGTGTGCGCTGGGAGCATGGCTGTGGGTGGCGCGTGCGACTGGGTGTGTTGTTTTTTTTAGGGTATCATTCTCTGCCTCTGCATTGGTGAGTGTGTGCAGCTAGTCTGTCTCTGTGATTGCTTGTGCAGTTTCGTGAGTGTTGCCGCTGTCACCGAGCTTGCTGTGAGTGTGTGGTGGCCGCTGGGTAGGTGCTCCTGGGAGGTGTCAGCCGCCGGGGCCGGGGGGCCGAGGGGCGCTGGGGGAGAGGCTGGCGTGGGGAGGCGGTTCTGCGAGCGACGTGTCTCTGGTTTGCGAGCGTGGTCCTGGGTGTGTATTTCGTCTGCGGGAAATTGACCTGTGTGCTGGGGCTTGAGTCTCTGACCCGGGGCAGGGAGTTGGGGATGGTGCTGGAGGGGGCAGCGGCGGAGCCCGCTCTGACCTGCTCCGCCCACCTGTCTCCACAGGCTCCCCGGTGTGGCATGGCCAGAGCACAGCAGGACGGCAGCTCCCGAGAACCAGTAGAGGGTCTGCCCCGGGAGGGCCCCAGAACCTTTCCCCTGGGGCGGCTCATGCCCTCTGCAGTCTCCTGCAGCCTCTGCGAGGCTGGCCTGAACCCTTCTGGTGACTCCATGTGTCCAGCCCCTGGCCCCGCGCTGGCACCCCCTTCCCTCCTGCCCCTCGCCTACTTCTGCACTCGACAGCCCCGTTCCTATGGGGGCCCCCGCTGGGCCCGGGTGGCCAGGAGCCCAGCCCCCAGCAGCCAGGGCCAGAGTGGTGAGTGCCAAAGGGGCTCTGTCTCCACACTTTCTCGTCTGCCTGGGGGACGGGGCGGGGCGGCGTGGGGAGAGTGTCTGTATCTCTTCCACTTTCTGTCTCCAGGCTCGGTCTCCCTGTTTTGGTTTCTGCATCCTCTCCTGGGTGGTGGTGGGGGAGTTTTGGGGGGGGGGGGTCCCAGGCGGGGGGGAAGAGAACAGGAAAGGAGACTTGGGCACTCACCTCTTCCTAGGGGAAGCCCTCATCCCATAGGGAGGTCCAGGGCCCCCCAGGAGTCCTGAGTCATCTTGGGGCAGAGGAGGGAGTCCACCAGGTGGGGGGATGGGAAGGGAGGTGAGGTGAGGAGGCTCCCCGGGTTGGGAGGGCAAAAGCTACCAAGACAGGTGTGACAGAGACACTGAGGCAGCGGGGGGGGGGGGGGGGGGGGGCGGGGGGGGGGGGGGGGGGCACACACGGAAAGGGGAGGAGAAATAGAGGAGGCCAGGTCCCTGGAAAGGGCGTGGTCCAGGACCCTGAAGGGCGCCAGGTCCATCTTGCAGTCTGACTTGTAGTCCTCTCCCAGGGTCCTGGCAGGCTCCCTTCTCCGGGGACTGGTGCCCCTCCCCCTTCCTGGTAGAGCTGGGAGGGAGGGCCTTCAGGTTTGGAAATTCCCCTGGGGGAAGGGAGGGTGGTGGTGGGGAGCTAGCCCGAAAGGGTTAAAGGTCCCCTGCCTGCAGAGTAGTTAACCCTGTGTTGCCTGCTTCCCTCTCCTCTGCTCACATGGGAGGGAGAATTGTTGTTTTCCTGTCTCCTCCCCCTTCTGCATCCTGGCTGAGGCGGAGTGGGGGGCACCGCATTGTGGATGGGTGGGCAGTGAGCTTCTCTGTGGCCTGGGAATTAGGGTTAGAGTTTTTTTCTTTTCACAGACTCCCCCCAGCAGCTCCTCTCCTGTACGTGTACACACACACACACACACACACACACACACACACACACACACACACA